ACCTATACCCAGACTCACACCTAAACCCATACCCAGACTACACAGACTCGCATCCAAACCCATACCAAACTTACAAATAAACCAAAACCATGCCGTACCCAAAACCAACCTAAAACCAACAAAAATTAAAATGATTGTTAAATTAATTTATATTTAGTTAAATTTAATCTTACTAGGTTAATTAAATTTAGGCTGCAGTTTATATCAATTTATATCTAACCAGAAATAGCAACAAAAAAAATAGTAAATGATTATTAATTAAATTATATCATTTTAAAATTTACCAAAATGTTTTTAATGATAATTTCTTAATAATATGATTTACAACATTATTATATAATTGCATTCAATGTATAATTTTAAACAATAAATATAATTGCAAAATACGTGAATAAAATTCTTATAATACATAAAACATGAAAACAATGAAGAAGTGATTCAATCGCAGAATTATTGAATCTAGTGTTGAATCATGAATTCATTTCCAGAGTTCGGACTCAATATTAAGTGGACAGGACTGGTATGGATGCCATCCCTCCTATTATTTGTCACATCACTGTATGAATGGCACAATCGGTCGCCAGAAATAATCACATCCAGGCGTTTATCACATCCCACCACACTCTTCATCACTAAAGTAATATTTACATAATTGATTAAAAATATATAAATTAATTATGTTTTAATTATTTTAGTGTTTATCCGGAGTGCTATTAATTATCAGTTTATCGCAACTCTTGAATGCAATCAACAGTTATTTAATTAATTTAGTGGAAATTATTACACATTTTATAATGACATTAACTTTGATATGTATTTCTAAATATATTTTAATTATAAAATTAATTTCAATTCATTTAAAAGATTTCTACAATAGTTTTGATAATTAATCACAAAAAGCGAGTAATGAATACTTCGGGCGTTTTATTCATATTCTGGTTGTGTTTGTCTGTCGGAACCGCATTCAACTACAGAACAATACTCACCACTGCCTTCAGTGATTAATTGATTAATAATTATTTAATTAATAAAATTTTTATTTATTCATTCCAAAGGCACCGATAGAGCATTTATCACTCAATTATTGCTTTCATTTTTTTGTGAACTTAACACAAGGCTTTACAACTGTTACCACTAGAGAAGTACCTAAAAATATTATATATTTTAAAAATTAAGTTTTTGTACTTTTAACAGAATTCTAGTCCCAAAATGAGTCATCATTTTTATCTCGACTCACATTTTCATGGTTTACACCAATGATTATGAATGGCTATCGGAAACCATTGACCACTGAAGACATGTGGTCGCTGTCCACACAGAATCGGACCAATGTTTTCATCAAACAATTCAATAAACACTGGAAACCAATACAACAAAACAGTGCCAAACATGGCACCAATATATTCCCAGTAGTGTTGAAGACCTATTGGCCAACACTGATGTTCACGGCGTGTATTAAACTAATGGTCACATTATTAACATTCACTCAACCCCTAGTACTCGACCGACTCATTACATTCATCACATCCCAGACCAACACGAGCTCAGACACCATTATGAAAATTAAATATATAATACTAACGTTTTACATCCAGTTATTTTTAAATAAAACAAATATTTTTCGCTATAATTTTTAGCATAATTTAATTTTAAAAATACTCAATAATTTATTCGTATAAATAAATGAAAATTTATTTACAACAATTTTCATAATAAATATATCAAAAATATAATAATTAGTCAAAGATTAAGACAAAACCGAATTTATTTAGTGTAAAACTTTTGACAAAAGCGCCGATACCTGACAATCGCCTCGTCATTGCGGGTAAATATCGGGCACTTAGGTGTTTGATTATTCACGAAGATCATAGCATCCGAATCAATCTATAATCTCAACAAATACAATTAAAATTAACCATATTGTATTAAAATTTTAATTTGATTTAGTGTAGTGTAATGTATTGATAGTTTATAAATTATTGATCAATTATAACATTTAATAACAATATCCTTACAGATTTATTAATAAATGCAGCGCATAATATACCTGTATATTCAGCATATACCTAATTGCTATAAAATATAGCTTGCTAAAAATAGATGACTTTAAAAAGAATATTAATCTGGCCGACGTTTGACCATGCTGCAACGGAACAACAGTAGCCAACATTAATACGGTGCCCATCATTGAGTCCTCTGTGCCAAAGTAAATGAGTTCAGTCACTGGTGACACGTGACACACTTTCATGTGTAGAGTGGCCAACTCGACGCCGACTAAACAGATGGTCATTCTTCCAGTGAGTGTAGGCCTCGTCTCTGTGCCGTACGTCCTATCAAATGAAAATTTAAAACTAGCGATGGATGGCATGTATGGCATCAGCTTCTGGTGTACGTAATGAAAGTGCTGTAAGTCGGCTGCATTCTCCGTTACGATCTATCATAGTAAAAACAAATGGCTAATTATTATTGTAAAAATTATTTCATTTATTAAATATCAATCATATAATTTATTAATAGTATTATAAAATTTTAATAAGCATTTCTTACAATAATTATTTATATTTTATTTTATAATTAAACTATATTGTTTTAAATTAAATTATATTATATTGAGAATTCTGAGCATAGAAAATGCTGCATAATTATGTATGATGTATGCATAATTAATGACACCTTAAAGTACCTGATAATTACAATGCATAATTTTGAAAACACTCCCTTTCAGTGATAGATTATGATTATCTTTTTCAAAAAAATCCTGGGGGTAGTGATCGGGGTCCGAGTCCTCCGAGTGGTGCCAAACATATATCACTTCATTCAACTCTATTGTCTGCCATTTCATTACAACAGCTTTCACTGTATTTAACTCAGACTCTATGGAAAACATTATTAATTCATACAATAATTTTAATTTATTTATAAATAATTACTATTAATAGTTATAGACATACCGTTGAGATTAGGTATGCGTTTGCACTGTCCGTCTCCGCCAAACCTCCAGCCATGGAATGGACACTGAATACAGTCGTCGCCCGATTC